CCTGCCTTTAGCAACTTCCCCTGAAAATTAGTTGGCAACGCTGCACACGCAAGCCGCAGCATATTACTACTGTATTTTTCTTGCTGTTTGCAGAGCATAGGGCTCTCACAGACACTAGTTTTATATCTCATGGAAACTGATTTATTGGCATCTGTCAGGTAATTGTGACATGTTATGCCTGATATTTTAATGGGAAAACATGCTTTCTTCCAGCATGACGGTGTAGTTATGGCATTCAACAGCAAAGGCTCCTACTGCCCTGAAACTATGTTAATGTTTTTTTTTTCTTGTCTTAATCATATTTTCCTGTCGTTGTTTTGCAGATTACAAAATTTGGCTCTGCAGCTGATATTCCAGCACGATTCATTGAGAGAAACATCAGTATCAGAGGAAGACTAAGAAATATTACCGAAAAAGGGCTTGAAGTGGAACACATTCCAATTTATGTCCCTTTGCTCAGTCGCCTACTTACTAAACGTAAGGAACCACTTGATCCCCTTTTGCAGTCCTTCAGGAAGACCCCCTCACACACTTTAATTAAATGTCCTTTTAGTAGGCCTGCACATTTATTTCACAGCTGTCACAGGGACCACTGTGTTCATCTCAACAGCTGGTCTCAATTATGACTCAATCTTTAAAAGCCTGTTTCTCTTAGAAACAGTTTTATCAGTTTTCATAATTGTGGATTTCCTGCTGTGTCAGTAAGTGTAGAGAGGTTTTTGTTTTCCTGCTTAAAAAAGTGACTTTGCCTTTAAACTTGGATTCAAGCCCATTCACTTATTGGTCTTTTAACATAAGTCAATGAAGCACATAGGATTTCTCTCTCTCTTGTCGTCTGATTGTTACACTCCAAATCCTGCGAAACCTCACATTGTTTCAGAACTATATCAAATTGCCACTGAGTTGTTAACATTTGCACATCTACAAGATTGTGTTTCAGTATTTTCAAATGAATCTCTGTAAACCAGTTAGTGGAAAGAGGCAGTCAAAGTAATTCTATTATGGACCATCCATGCCTTCAAAATGAGTTTAGATGTGATCCAAATATGCTATACCAGTCACATATCAACTCCCTGAAGTTTAGATAAGGAGATGTCACTTTGATTCACAGATGGCCTTGTTGTAAGCTTGACCTCTTGGTGCGTGTACCATATGGACGTATATAGCTTTCTCCTGTATACCACAGAGACTAATGCTCATCAGGATAGCATGACCTTACTGGTCTTGTTTACATAATGATCCTCTCAGACCACAGAAAATGACACTTTCTTTAAATCCTTTAGAAGTCCTAAGAAGTGCTTTGTACTGACTCCGTAAACTATTTTCACATCGTAAAAGCACTTTGAAATTAGAGTCTTGTTGATATAGCGTTTAACAGGGAAATGACAACTTACACTAGCTTCAGCAGGTCATTCCTTGACCCTTCTGGATGTGCGTCTGGCTGAAGTGGAGCTGACCGCAGAAGGGCAGGACTGGATTGGTCAACAGCTGAAACGGTGTGGCTCCGACTGATCGCTCGACAGAACGAAACCCTCCACTGCCTAGTGTCAGTTAAACAGGGTAGCTCCAATATACCAGATTAGCACAGGGTCAGATGCCACCATTAAAGGGAAATGAGCTAATGAGTTGAATCAGGTGTGTTTGATTAGGGAGACACACAAAATGTGCAGTGCTGGGGGGCGCCCTATTTACTTGCTTATTTACTTATACTCAAACATTTTACCTTATTATTTTGGAGCTAGGCATAACTTATAAAGAAGTGTATTTATTATAAAAATGGCCACAGAGTTATGAGATCTATCTATCTATCTGTCTATCTATCTATCTATCTATCTGTCTGTCTGTCTGTCTGTCTGTCTCTGTCTATCTGTCTATCGATCTATCTATCTGGAATTTATTTATTTATTTATTTTAAAGAAGCCTGGGCTCTTCTAAGACAAAAAAAGTTGGGATCCAGTTGAAGGAAGGAGTTGAAGTAAGAAATATCTTGATTTGTTTAGCCTGTATTTAATGCTTTTCCCCCCTCCTTATTTTAAGTCATTTTGAGTTTTGAGGCCCCCTAGTGAGTCCTGGCCCCCCGTGGTTAAGAACCACCACTTTAGATCTAATATCATACAAGTTAAATAGGGTTCATGGAACACAGTCATGGAAAGCTGGAAATATCAGGGGATTTCAAATGTGTTGTTTCTAAGCCTAGAAAAGTCTTAGAGTATTAATTACAGTGAACATTTCTACTTGGTTCTATTTTTTTCCTCCTTTTTTAGAAATTGCTCTTTGTATTTCTATATGCAGTTTCTATAAATTGATTGTTAAAACACAGTAATCACAAGCAACTGGAAAAATGAATAACAATTCTGAATGAATAAATTCTAAATCTAAATGATTAAATGTATAATAAATATTATAATTTTATATGTTATTAGTCACATTTTGCTTAAAAAAGAGAGAAAATCCTTTAAACCCACATTGCATTGAATTTCTCTCTAGGGTTCACTCTTTAACACCTGTGTGAATGAGGAACTTTTGAGGCATGGATTGGCTAGGACTTCTCCTTTTGTGGGTCTGGACTCTCACTCTCGGGTCTACTGGCGTCTCTATAAGCGCTTTCTGAGGGCCGAGAGCAGAGCAGAGAAAAAAGGGAAAGGCCTGTGGAAGGAAGCGAGTCGCTGGGAGAGAGCTGCTAATGTCTTGAGGAACAATCTGCTCTTCATCTCGGTTAAAAAACTCTTCAAATGGACGTCAGGGGCTAAAGAGAAGTGAAATATTCCCTTTTCAAAAAAACAAGGTTGGTTATTCATTGTGCAGAGTTGTTTTGTTTGAAGTATTTATTCTAAATGTGCTATATTGCTGATCTCAGACCTGAACTTCATGGATAAGGTTAGCAGCAATTAAACTTGAAATGACTGAATCATCCATGTGTTTTTATGCTTATTACTTTGACCTGTCTCTTCACACATGTCCTTATTTACCCAACATGAAGACAGACATTCTTAACACGTTGCAGTTTTGTGTAATCCATCACATTATTCATGCTGTCCTACACCTGTAGCGTTGGACACCATCGTCATATTCCTGACACCCGGAAAGCCTTTGTACTTATCCCTCCTCCCATAAATCCATATCCCACAGACCAATCGGTTTTCTCTTTCCCTGGGGAGGCGGGGGAGTGCTTTGTCACGATGACATGGCAGTGGGGGTCTAGCGATGCCCCTATGGAGACAATGAGGAGGAGGGATCCCCATTACTATAGAAACATCACACTCACAAGACAAAGTGCATTGGGGGTGCCACCTTCTCAGGGTCCTAAAGGCCTTAGTACTTTGACGATGGGGAAAAGAGGCTAGAAGAGGGGAAAAGGTGCTGGAATGGAAAACTTATCTAAAAGATGAAGACAAAGGTTTAAAAGACAATTAATATTCAGAAATGTTAGCAGAGGTAATATTATCAGAAGACAATTGTAGCTGAATTGTACTTGTTTCATTGACAGTGGCTAAAGAAACACATTTGAAATGTCAACAAGATTTTGTGAAAGTGAATATGTCAGTGTTGCATGTACCAACTACACAAATCTGGTGTCTCAACATAATAGAAGTCATTCTGGTTTATTGTCTCAAAATTATACCTGGTGGGTTCATTTTCTGAAAAACAACAAACAAATCACAACTCCGAGAGAATATGTAGTCTCAGACTTGTTAGACTCTAAAAAGAGGCTAACATCTAAAGGCCCTCCCAGTGGTTTGCTCAACAGTGAGAGCGCAGGTCCTCTGGTTGGGGTTTTGTTTTCGCCTCAGTTCTCAATGGTAAGAGTCCATCTACTCTAATGGGCAGAAGGGGGAGGGAATGACCGGGGAAGTTGCCTGCCCCCTCCTTTCAGACTTTATTGTGCAAATGTCCCTTGCGACTATGGCAGAGATGCTGGACTCTTATTGGACAGACGGTTTGAATTGTAAAGGTGCATTGGGTATGAGCAGTAGCAGACTTTGAACCCAGACTCAGTACAGGGGCGGTTACACAGAAAGACCTGTGGAAACTGTGGAAGGAGTGAGAGATGTGTGACAGGAAAATATGCCCTTTGTTTTCATGCGGGAGGGGGAACAGAATTCCTCTCTTCTCATTGTATCAAATTCTAAGCTTGGAATTTTAAGCTCCTCGACTGAATTTACAACTCTCACATTTTAGGTTTTGTGATAGCACACTGAAATGCAAATTTATTTCAAAATATAACATCTATGAATAGAATAGTAAGTAAATTTCACATTTTATGTTTTATATCATAGTTTATATTATTATTTAGTTTGGTCAAAAATAGAGGCAATGTTTTCTAACAAGCATTTTATTGTTATACTATTTTATTTTATCCTGATTATTTTTCAATAATACCTAATATAAGTATTCATTTATAGAAATAAATAACTTTCGATCACACTTTATTTTAAGGTCCAATTCTTGCTATTAACAAACCATTAACATTTTGACTTTTGCCTCAACAAACTCCTAATTTGCTGCTTATTAATAGTTAGTAAAGGAAGGTGTTATGTTTAGGTATTGGGTAAGATTAGGGATGTAGAATATGGTCTTTATAAGTACTAATAAACAGCCAATATGTTATTAAAGGCATGCTAATAAGCAACTAGTTAATAGTGAGAAATGGTCCCTATACTAAAGTGTTACCTAGCTTTCTAACATTTTTGATTTTTTTTTTTAAATAAATAATAATAATAAAATAAATAAAATAAAAATAGTCCACTTGTAAGTTCTCAGTGTTTGAGTTTTGTTGAAACATGCCTTTAAAATGCTACAGGAACGGATTAATATTACTGGCAAACTGAATACCGTATTAATTGTCGCGTGATGATATTTGTTGTTCCTGCTTATTGTCGTTCATTGTCAGTCCGTTCCTAAAAGTCCGCACCTGTTTTTGCGGCTGGTCCTCTCGGCTCCGGTCAGTTACCAGTCCGGAGCTTTTGAATGAGAGCGGAGACTGACAGTTAAACTGCACTTGGGAAGGAGAACCCTGGATGGAAACGCGCGTGTGTAGAGGAAAATAAGTACACAATGTTTCCATGAAAAGAGTCAAGGCTGACTTTGTAACCAAAGCGGAATTATAAGCAAACTCTTGAGTGAGAGAAACTGAAGTAAGTGATTTGTTTCCGTTCTTTGTTGAGAGCAGGTGCACGTTTGAACGGTACCAGGCGAAGAAGTTTCACTTTTTCCTTTTTTATCTCTTTTCTATTTTACTCTTATGAACTGTCTATATTATACAGTGTCAGTGAACGATATATATAGACACACACACACACACACACACACACATATATATATATTAAAACGTCCTCATATATATATATACCTTTGTTGTGAAATGTTAGAAACCCTGTAGGAATAACGTTTAAAACAGTACATTTATTATTTACTTACTCACATAGTCTTCTTGGTGTACAGTTTGGCAGATGGTTGAATTGACATGACATTATAAATGCATTACATATCCAGAGGGTGGCATAAAAAAAAAGCAGAATCCAGGGGGCATTTGTTCAAATCACCACTCATGTGCAGAGGTGACTGCTCTGTGTTATATGTAATGTTCAGAGAGTAAGTCAAAACGTGTTCAAACACATGTTGACAGAGTGTACCGACTTTGCAGGCTGGTAAATTTATCTGGGTGTGTGCTGTTCCCTGAAGCCTCAACAATCACTGTTTCTCATGTTCAACATTTCCCCAAATCCATATATTATTTACAGACTTTAACCAGACAAATATGGACCTAGAATTATTGTGTACCATCTTTGTCTCTAAATCTGCCAAAATGGAGCTCAATAAAAAAGGTCAAAGATTGAACAAGATGACACTCTTGAGGTTTAACCCATAACTGATTAACCTCTTTGAAATCACTTTTTTAAAAATTATTATTATAAATTCATACACTGACGTTATTTTACCTGAATGATTAAGTGACCTGTATTTGGCTACACAAGACACCCCATATAGAGCATCACATTATAGTGAAATAAATGTCAGACACACACTTGGGAAAGGTTAGGTTTTGCAACCAAGACAGTGTTGTATTTGTCTCTCCAAAGAGCTTCTATTCAAAGTGTATGCATATTTCTGTGTATTGGAACGTGTGGGGTAAAATGACTCCAGTGTTTTCCAAGCACAGCTTATCATTTTGCTCCCCTGCTCGGGTGTAGCGTGGGGCGGCAAACAAGCTTCTGTGTGGAAGCGGAGACCCGATTAATTATTTAGCTTTTATTCTCCGAGAACAGAAGACAAGGCATGTTAACTGTATTCTTTGTGTTCTCAGTGTGGCTTCAGTGAAGTTAGTCCTTGGCGGCCTTGAAACAGATCCCAGTGTCTGTCACTAGTTCTGGGTCATATAAATGTGCCTGCCACTCCTGCTGTATCAGTCCAAGCCAAGAATGTTTCAGACTTTTAGTGCATTCATTCAGTTCACTTTAAACTTTCAAAACTTTTTTACTTCCTTTTTTTTCTTGAAGTTGATCTGTTTGTCACTTGAGTGTTTAATTTTAAGCCTAGCAGATCAGTCAGAATTCAGTCAGGGCCACCTTAATGCAGGCACTTCCTAGTGGCCATCATTAAGGTGCTTTCGTTCAGTGTTTGAATAACCATAAGTAATTACAAGATTTTGAGATGTTCTTGCAGAACTTGCATTATACAACTTCAGAGAATTCCAACTTGTACCACTTGACCATTGCTAGGTCATACTGAAACTGAAACACTGACTTTTAGTTGTAAAATGTAGTACAGCTGTTTTTTAATAATAATTCTGTTTAATATTTCCCATAATTGACTATTGTAAATGTTTTGATAATGTAAGAATAATCTGTAAGTAAATGAATGACACACAATACCGATTAATATAGCACAGCGTTGATTTACTTTCTAATGCCTTGCTAAATAAACTATAAGTTTATGAATAATACTTTTAAATAATACTTTTTTCCATTGATTACTCAAATTACTCAGACATTAATTTTGCAATTAATATTGTTGACATAGAAATACATAATTCTGAGAATCTAAGGACAACTTAACGGGAGACAATGGGAGTAAAATGTCCCATTTTGTCCTTTAGTAGTATTTTTGACATGGCGTAAATGCAGCACAAATAAAAAATATATATATACTGATATAAAATGATCTATGTATGTAATAAAGTGCACAGACAATAAGTTTGTATTTATTTATTTATTCATTCATTTTTTTTTTCATATGGAAAACATCAAGCATGTTAATCATACCCATTTTATATTTTCTGTTGCATTTTATCATGTTTAATAGACTTTTTGGAAATGGGCATTTCTTTCATACTTAAAAGGTACAGATTGCACATAAAGAGGTTCAAT